TCATAGCGTCCTGCGTGGGTTCATGCATGTAACGCGCCCCCACCCAGTGTAGGTAGGGAGCAGAATGCACAGCCTCCCTAGGTCGCGGGGATTGACTTCATTTCGAAGGCCGTCGCCTGAGTGTACGTAGGAGCCTGAGCGCAGCTGTTTCTGATGATTCTGTATAAAACAAAGCCTCTCCGATTCCATCTTAGCGGCCATGTCAACCGCAAACTGGTGGGAAAGCTCCCTGCATCTATGAAGCAGGTTGAAGTTTCCATCCCTAACCATGAACCGGTATGAGTAGAAGGCCTTGCACGATAAGGTTTTGGAAGGCGTTGTAGGTTGGCCACCCGGAGTATGAAGGGGAATGCCGAAGTGGTATCCATCGTCACCATAAGGGAAAAGTAAAGGGTACTGCAATGCGTCATATGATCGATGGGTCTCTGAAATCCTGTGAAGAGCGCCACCTGTTGATTTGAGGACAATATCACGAGTGCGGTCTTGCTCCCCATGTATAATAGCAGCCACTTCATTGCACGCAGGAGCAATGTAGCGGCATTCGTTGGCATCAATTACAATGCTGAAGGAAGAAAAGGGAGCATTTTCCAAAGAATATCTGAAACTGCGATTGTCGCTGTTAACCTCGTGAAGCATGGCCTGAAGTAGTATGACGTCCCTGCAAGGAACATTTCCCGACGGTGGCAAAATACCAATCCGGGTTTCAGCCTGTAGGTTTTAGTCTGCAATAAAGTACAGTTGAAGGAATTTAGGCGTAGAGGTCTCCTCAGGAAGCAGAGACACAATGCGGTGGTATACCTACCCCTGTACTTTGAAAGTGGGCATCCAACCCTCTTCTCGAACCACCTGAGCTCCAAATGAAGTCATTTGAAAGGAGTTGTTGTATTGCCTAATTATTTTAAAGAAGTGGTTGGAGTCCGGATGGGAGCAGGCTATTAGTCCCCTCAACGGAGTAGGTGGTTCATGCAGAGGCGGCAGTCGAACTTTGCCGGAGGAGCAGTACAGACCGGCAGGCTCCCTGGATCATTTGCGGGCGTTGCAGAATTGGCAAACGCAGGTCACGGACACTATATTGATGTCGTCACGCGTAGTTAATGCCGGGGTCGTAATTGAAAGCCAAAAAAGACTAAAAAGAGCTACTGGGACAGGTAACACATATATGGTTGATGTATATAAAAAGCCAAAAAACATAAAAAGACAAAAAACAAACAAACATATAAAAAAATAATAAACAAAAAACATAATAAAAAACAACATAAAAATTAAAAAACAAAATATAAAAAAACATAAAAAATAAAAAAAACATAAAAAAATAAAAAACAACATAAAAATTTAAAAAAAAAAAAACAACATATAAAGTCTAGGTTGTGACAATTTTTATTTAGATACAAAAACAGCATCATATTTTTTTTTTTGTTCATTAATACTGCATGGGAAAGAAACATTTCATAATATAGAATAGCGTTTCATAAAGTACAAACACATAAAAATATAACATCCTTATCTTTATATCTCTGTCATATTTGGACCAGCAGTTGATACAGCTCTTGACTGGACATGGGGGACTTTGAGATTTGTTTCATGTTGAAATTGTTCAATGAAGGCATTTTGTAGAAATATTTACACAAGGTAATAAAATAACAGATAGGGATGATAAAATATCAATAAATGAAACTTGTGGCCTGCCATCGTCTTTAACCTCTAGCCCTCTGCATTATTAATATTACTTCCCTTCCCACTGCATTCTTTTACAAGTCCTCTTAATTGCAGTATCCTTATTGTTAATCTCACTCAAAAGTTGTTTTCTGCTTCCATAGCAGGATATGACAACACAACTATGAAATTCAAATTCAGGGATCAATCACCTTCAGTGGCAAGATAAACTTTTTGTACAGTAAATGAAGTCACAGAGTGGCAATAGTTAAATAAGCAACAATATTTGCAGCCTGACAGAAATGAGATGTAATGATTATTGCATCAATATTTATGTCATGCAACGTAAATATTGTTCAGTTGAGGTGAGTTTCAGTATTTTCAAAGCTAGAATGAATTTTTTTTTTTTTTTTCTCTCATCCTTTGGGAAATTCTTCAAAAGATTCCTCTATACTGTCAAGGTGTGACAATCTACAGGCAAAATCTCTCATCTTCCACACAAGGACAATTATTGATTTCACTGCGTTCATTACTGCCTGCAATAATCTTTTGATTCCTTCCCAGATGAAGAGGGCCCAAAACTTGCAGAAATATCAGAATTTCTCTAAAATGGCAGTTTCAATCAGATTTACCAACATGAGGCATATATATATATATATATATCAAGCCAATGTAGAATTTATTTTGTTACATGTGTTTATATAAAAAAGCAAAGATGTCATTGGTTTATCAAGACTTTTAAATTTGAGAATGTTTATGAATATTCATCAAGTGGTTGAAAGGTTAGTCAAAATATGGAGGACACAAAGTGTCATAATTCAAAGTCTGGTGAAAAATAAGCAAGTAATATATTGACTAGATTGTTATGGTGTAGGATGGATGTACGTCTTAAATTTAAAAGCTTTGATAAATCAATGACATCCTTGTTTATGTATATAAACATGTGCAACAAAATAAATCCTACATTGCCTTGAGAAAGTCCCCCAGAGGACAAAACGTGTCAGCTAAGAATACCTGTTCATTGTCTTTTCATTCATATATCTTGCACCCTATGAAGAGATGTTGAAATAGGGTTTGTTATGAAACCAAAACACTTATTTTCAGTAAAAGATTAGTCATTCCTGCTCCTGTCAGTGTCATGTCATACTGGCAAAATATTTCAACTTCAGGATACAGAAACTTCTGCCAATTACATCAGGTTAATGAGGCTACACACAAGGCACTATTTCGGCTGGCCATTACAAAACACTTTATATAATCAAAGCATAGAAGAGAATAGTGACTGCAGAGTACAAAGAAGCAATTTGTAACATTGTCCCATGTGTAGCAAATAAGACTGTCCTTTTACAAAACAGAGCAATAGAGTGACCACAGTATGAAATAATAAATGACTGAAAATGTTAATTGTATTAACAATGTCATTGAATCAATTTTTTAACTGGAAACGGATCCCCTTTAAATCCACACACACACACGTTAACAAGTACCCCAACATATCATATAAAACACTCTCCTAAACAATCACTCCAAGAAGACTTAATAGAGAAGTAATTTGAATAAGAAAGATGATGGGTTAGGCACAAAGAAAGGAAAAATATCCCCTTCAAGTTTCAAATTCGGTCCCTTTTAATTATATTAACAATGTTCAAATGATACCATATTGTGGGGGAGGGGGATTTTTCTATATTAACAATGTTTAAATGGTACCATGCTGTGGCAGGGGGCGAGGGTTTTATTAACAATGTGCAAATGATACCATACTGGGGCAGGGGGGGTGTTTTTTTTAATTTTAATCATTTTTTTCAAAACCAGTTTTGTAACTTATCAAATATTAAACCAGAGATCAAAGTTAGATTAATAAAAACAAAGTTATATGTTAAAAATTTTACATTAATTTTTGTTCACAGCCACTGTGTAAAAAAAAAAAAAAAAAATTAAATAAAATTTTAAAAAATTAAATAAATGAAATAAAATAAAAAATAAATGAAACAAAACAAAAAATTAAATAAAATGAAATAAAAAACAAGTAAAAAAAAATTTAATAAATGAAATAAAAAAACTAAATAAAATAAAAATTAAATTAAAAAAAGAAAAGTTAACTGTTTCCCTATATATTTTCTAAAAATATTTGAAAGTAATTTTTTTTTCTTTTTTGATAGCCATTCTTATCAAAATCAATTAAACAACAGAAAAGTGTAGAATGTGAAATGTTATTGCAAAAGGGTCTTTTCAGAATATGGTAACAATTGAACATTGAATTGTTTATTCAACAGCTTCATTTCAGGATTTTATCTTTTTTTTTCCTGCCAGTCTTTTTTGTTTATTCAAATTTCATTTGACTTTCATCCACATTCATTCTTGTTGGATTAATCTTCATTGTCTCCAGAAAGGAACACATCAAGATTCACTGAAAAACAACAACAAAAAATCAGGTTTTTAGTTTGAAAATTGTACCCCTCTACCTCATCCAAGAAAAAAAAATGCACACACACACACACACACACACACACACATGCAAACAGACTGTTTGAAAGGAAAAAAAATGAAATTAAAATAAAAAAATTTAATTTATTTGCTTTCCTTTAGAATATGGTAATACTTTTTGTAAATATCTTTTGAAGAAAAAAAAAAAAAGAAAGAAAGAACATTGCTTGTTATAATATGAAGTGACTTCTTCCTTTTATCAAATGTAGACTTTAAAACACTTGTAACTAAAATACAGACACACACCCCAATACACAAAAATAAATCAATTGTATAATTTTAATTTACAATTTAACATGCTGATACTGTTATTTCTGTATATATTTTTTTATTCTTGTGAAAACAAGGCTATTTATGCTGGTATGATGTGAGTGACCCCATGGTACCTCTCTTTTTATGTGTGTATGTGTGTGTGTGTGTATATATATATATATATATATATATATATATATATATAAAAATCATAACACAGACAATGATTGGGTTTTCTTGGATCATTCAAACAAAAGGTAAATAACATTGTCTTGTCAGACATCAAAAGTGACTGGGCTTTGCACCATTTTGTTTTATAAATCTGATGTAGAAATGTCAGAGGTCACTAATAACTGAATTAACAGTACTAAATGACCTTAATTCACACAATATCCAAAGTCCATAACTAAATAGTTTACTACCCTATTTCTTGAGTATATAATACAACCCTGTATTTCTAAAGCGAAAAACAGGATATTACATTTTGGGGCATAATACAACTCCATAATACAACCATCCTTATGCAAATTTTTTGAGAAAGCCATACCATTAAAATCAACGTCATACATATGTTTCATTATAATATTTAATTTTTCATATTAAAGAATAGAAATGAACCAGGCATTTAGCCACTGAGTGTTTCTTCTAATTTCTATTTCAAAACTTTTCGAATTTTTGTGGAAAGCTGCTAATTAGATATACCCAGTAATACATTTTAAGGTGTTAATTAATCTATCATACTTTTTTGTTTTATATGACTATTATATTTCTATAGATTAATAAACCATGAAAATAAAAAATATTGTCTTTCATTAAGAATGAAGAGAGAAAAAAAAGAAAATCAAAATATAAACTTTTATTAGACATACCATATTTTCTAGAGTTATAATATGATCCCATATTTCTGAAGCTAAAAATAGGGAATAAATTACCTCCTTCAGTATAATATTCACTTGTAGTACAGCTATGCCTATGTAAATTCTTTTTGAAAAGATGTACCATATTAAGCATTAAAATCTGTCATACATATATTTCACTAAAATATTTAATTTTTCATGATATTAAAGAAAAGAAATGAACAGGATGTTTAGCCATTGTGTGTATCTTCTAATTTCTATTTCAAAACTTATTTTCAAACTTTCTGGGAAAAGTGCAAACTCAACATATGTGGTAATACATTTTAAGGTGTTAATTAATCTATCCTGTTTTTCTATTTGATTATGATTTTATTATATATTTCTATAAATCATGAAAATAAAAAAATTGTCTGAAGATGAAGAGAGAAATAAATATTGCCTTCATTTCAAATAGCTTTTGCAAACAATTGTTATCAACACCTGCCTACTTTGCATTTTATTATCTATTGTGCTAAGTGGATTTGCTATCTTGCGGTTTCAAATAAAAGATTAAAAAAAATACTTGAGTAAAAATTTCTGAAAATGTGTACTTGTGTATAATACAACACCCACCTATCACATATTATGCACTAAAAATTCACCAATGAACTAAGTGCATTGAAAAGAAAGGGAATTACAGAGTAAAATATTTATGTTTGCATCCTTAGACTAAAAACTTCTTGATACACCTACTTATTCAAATTATATATAAAAATCCAATGCCGACCTTCTAACAATGTGTAACATTGACGGAATAGAGAGCTTCCTCATGAGGGCACAGTTACGATGAGCCGGTCAGGTTGTACGGATGCAAGATGGTAGAATTCCAAAGATTCTCATGTACAGCCAGCTTGAAGGTGGTCAACGGTATGTTGGCCGACCCTTGCTCAGGTTTAAAGATAAGCTGAAAAGTAACCTTGCAGCTGCAAATATTGCACACACTGATTTGGAGAATACTGCCTTGGATCGCAAAGCTTGGAAAAGTGTAACTTACACTGGAATCAGGAATTTTTTCATGACAAGTGTTGTCAAGCTCCGTGAAGCAAGAGAAAGGAAAAAAGCCTCAGAAGGTGCCAGAGAAGTGCACCCTCTTTGCTCACACGCTTGCCTAATCTGTGGTTTTCTTTGCAAGTCATTAGCAGGTCTGAAATGTCACTCTAGATTCAAACATAAAGGTCATTAAAAAGTTGTTGGAACCTCATACGTCAAAATCGACGGGAGAGTCCATCATATATATAGTATGAGACAAAAAGTAGACACACCCATAGAAAGTCAATTTTTGTATTTTTACCAAGACAACTGATTAACAGAATTCATGTATTAATACAGGTGTACATATATACATTATACAAGTCAAAAAATGATTTAGTATTTTGTTGAGTAACCTTTTGCTTTAATAATTCCCAACTCTTCTAGTGGCCTAGTTAGAGTCCTGACCTTAACCCAATTGAAAACCTTTGGGCAACAATGGACAACCGTGCACATAATAGGAAAGTTAACACAGAAGATGAGCTTTTTTTCACAAATGAAAGAAATGCTGGAAAAATTTAGCAAAGGACATTGACTTACTAAAGAATTTAGTCTATAGCATGCCACAAAAAATTAAGGCCGTTATTAAAGCGAAAGGTTACCCAACAAAATACTAAATCATTTTTTGATTTGTATAATGTACACCAGTATTAATATTCTGTATTAATAAATGAATTCTATTACTCACTTGTCTTGGTAAAATTACAAAAAAAATTGACTTTCTATGGGTGTGCCCAATTTTTTTTCTTCATACTACATATATATATATATATATATATATATATATATAGTCATCCACAGACAGACTGTTTCGCTGTATCAGAGCTCATCAGTGTGCCTAGACGTCTGTTTGCCTTTAGCTAGGATCGAAATCCGGCTGAATTGGCATCAGTCGGAGATTCTACCACTAAGTCATTGGTGTACAGCAAGGATGAAGGTGAATCTAAGCATATTTATTTTTAGATAAACACAGTGACTGAGAGGTCTCAATTCACTTTACCGAAGAGTCTTGCTATATTAGTGGTAATAGTCACTGTTTACAAACCCACACTTTCTCCCCCAGAGAGCTACGTACATACACACACAAACATATACAAACAAGTTTGATTAAATACAAACAAGGTCTGTCTAACTTTCCAACTTTCAGGTAAAATGTTGAGTATTATGTTCAAAGTTGTGAATAAACTGACCGAAGTTCATATTTTGTCATTTTAGTTCAAGTACTATCAACTTTTCTGTCACTATCAAAAACTGATGTGGTGTTGGTGCAGTTTAACCCTCTTGGCGGCAAGTTCTTATTCAATACTGCCTCATTCCCAATAGCAGTTACATATAATGTCACATTAGACAATATCAAACATCCAGTGTCCTCATGAATACCAAAATGCAGACAAAGGATTTAAAATAACCACAACGACACCACATTGGTTCTTGATAATGACTGGGATAGTCAAAAGTACTTGAACAAAAAACAATAAAATATGAGTTTTAGACAGTTTATCCACAACTTTGAACATAACACACAACATCTTATCATAAAGTCGGAAAAGTATAATAAAAAATTAAACAGACAGACCTTGTCAGTTCTTTTTTAATCAAACATGTTTGCATGAATGTTTGCTGCCAAAATATCCCTTTTCTATAAGAGGGGGGTAAAACTTATCTAAATTTTCCACTTTTTCCTATCAATGGCAAACTATTTTTAAAGATGAAGAGATGATTTCAGTTAAGCATAAAACATGGAAAGAAAAAGAAAGGAAAACAAAAATTGCCTACCTTGAGAAAAGAACTTCATTTGCAACTTGCTTAATAACAGAGACCGTTTTATTGATATCATCGGTTGTCAGTTTACGGTTGACAGAAATACGGATACTGAAAAAGGCAGAGATAGATGCACATTGAAAACAAAATCATTTCTATTAGCAAAAATAGGTTGCACATTAAAATAATATTGAAAAACCCAATCAAAGCATCATGTCGTATTGCCTTTGTGCTTTTTGTTGATTCAGTTATTTACATAATTGCCCTTTGAACAGTTTCATTTTCTTTTTACTTTTATTAGTTTCACAACACCACCACAAACTCATTCAAGAGATGGTGCTCCTCGCCCTCAGTTACAAAGTTTTGTACACCTTCTGCAAGAACATTATGGGATTTTAAATAAAAAAAAAAAAAAGAAAAGTAAAACATGAAAAATAATATCTCTCCAAAAAAGGTTTTGTTAAATTTAACTCTCAATTTATGAAAACGATTGGATAAATCAAGACTAAAATTGTAAATAAATTGACCAAAGTTCATGTTTGGGTTCAAGTATTTTCTACCATCTCAGTTATTAGCAAGAACTGAGTGTTGTCAGTGAAGAAGACAATATTTTGTTGGTTACGCCCTGGCATTTCTTTGGTATCTGAGCATTATTTTGTACACAAATATTTTAAGCATACTTCAAGATCTTCTCTCTCTCCATTAGGAAAAGATTTTATTTAATTTAGGTTCTTTTGTATAAGAACTTATAAAATTTTTGAGTTTTTCTTTGCAGTGAGTGCTATATACTATTTTAGTATTATCTACTAATATTTGCCTGATGCTGAAATTACATACACACACACATATATATATATATATATATATATATATATAATGCTGATGAGTCCCAAATATAGGACGAAACGTACGTCCAGTGCTTTCTGCATTCTGTTAAAGTTTCTTCTACACTCAATGAATTACTTAATTATGATATATGTGTGTGTGTGTGTGTGTGTATATATACATAACACATGTAGACATACATACACACACCCCTGGTCAAAATCTTAAGAAGGGTTAAAAAAAACTTATAAAATACTGTTACTTTAATCTAAATTTATCTAATTAAATGTAAATGTTTTACACATTTACATTTAATTAGAAAATATAGTTTATCAACAAACAAGTGAAAATTTTAAGATTTAATGGATTAATTTAAACAAGTCAGTGTGATAAGAGCTTCAGGCATGTAGACATCTACATAAGCTCATTTTCAGTATTAAATTTCAGATTTTAAAATGGCTAAAGGTAAAATTTTAAAGTTTGAACAGGGCAGGATTGTTGAACTTCAAAAACATGGGGTGTATATACATATGTACACACACACACACATATATATATACACAACATACACGTGCACACGACACACAACATATATATATACACACATACACACACACACACATATATACACGCACACAACATGCGCACACACATATACACACACAACATGCGCACACACAACATGCGCACACATATACACACAACATACACACAACATACACATTATATATATATATATATATATATACACACACAAACATACACATGTGCACACACGACACACACATGTGCACACACGACACACACATGTGCACACACGACACACACATGTGCACACACGACACACACATGTGCACACACGACACACACATGTGCACACACGACACACACATGTGCACACACGACACACACATAGGGTGTGATGGGTAAATTGCTGCCAATTTATATTTTTACACGTTGTTTGTTTTTCATTTATCTACTGCATAGGGTCAGTGTGGGCACACTCTGTGAGAAAAGGAGCCACTATGACGCAATTCACTGCCAGAAATTTGGAAATGGCATGATGTACTGCTTGGTATTTGCACCGGAATCTCCAATACGAACATTTCAGAGTGTCTGGATGTCAATCTCAGAATAGTGCAGAGGATTTGGTTGGAAGAGTAATGGTCATGACAAAGGTATGCCAGCTTTGAAATCACAACTTGATCATTCTGATAAGAAAAGAACACTCCAATTTGTTGGTGAGGACCTCAGACTCAACATGGAGGCCTGCAGCAAGTGCCTCGAAGAAGTTATGATGCCCTAGGCTAAGAGAATGGCTGATGGAAGGCACTATGTCTGGCAACAGGACTCTGCACCATGTTACACAAGCAGGAGAATTCAGTCATGTCTGGCAGACAATTTCTGTAACCACATCACCCCTTACATTTGACCATCTAACTCGCCAGATTACAACCCCTTTGATGTGGGGCACAGTTGAGCAAGTGACCAACAAAACTCTTTGTAACACCAAAGATGAACTGAACTGGAAGCATTTACCAACTAAAACAAGAAGACCATCCAGAAGAACTGCAGGAGATTATCTCCAAAGTCGTCTGAAGGCTGTGGTTGAAGCCAATGGCGATTTTATTAAATAAATTTGTATTTCAAGATATTTGTGTGTAATTTTGGTAAATATATATGTCAGTGTTATTTTCATTTTTGCACAATTTAGATGACAATTTATCCATCGCACCCTGTATACACATATATGCACACACACACACACACACACACACACACACGTGTACATGCATAAATGTATGTATAAAAAAATAGAAATTGAAAACCATCACCAATTTTCTTACCTGGGTTTTGGTAGGTTATGTTCTTCATCAACAAGATACTGAGCAACAGTCAGTCCAATCTTTTGTTGGTGGGCCTGAATAAAGTGGATAAAATATAAATAAAGATTAATTATTTTAAGTTTTAAAGTCTTCTTTACAACTGCATCACTTTTATCTCCTCCACCATCCACATCCCCCAAACACAAGAACACGCAGAATTGTAACTTAATTATAAAATCCTCCCTTCCCTTAGGTACCCTGCATGATGCACATTTGGGCAGTCAGGCCTCTCTTCAATTCACGACTGACTTATTTATAGAAGCTTTTACAGGACATAAAATTGGGGATCGGTTTCTTGTAGTCATTAAGTACTAAATTGATCACCCCAAAATTACTAGATATTAATATCCTTCCATAGATGCAATGCGTGATGCACACTTGGGCACCCATGTCTCTCTTTGATTCATGACTGACGAATTCATATACGATTCTACAGGATATAAAGTCGGGGATCAGTTTTTTATTGTCATTAAGTAGTAAAATGATCCCCCAATAATTACTGCATATTAATATCCTTTTTTAAGCACCATGCGTGATGCATACTTACTCGATTATGTCTCTTTTTTGATTCAGGACTGATATTTATATAAGATTTTATAGTCGGGGATCAGTTTCCTATTGTCATTAAGTACTAAATTGATCACCCCAGAATTACTAGATATCAATAGCTATCCTTAGGTGTCATGCATGATGCACAAATAGGCAATCATGTCTTTCTTCAATTCATGATTGACTTATTCATATAAGATTCTAAAGATATGAAATGGGGGATTAGTTTCCTATTATCATGAGCTATTAAAATGATCACTCCAGAATTACTACATATTGATTTTCTTTAACAGCAGATTAACTCCTTATGGGTTATTTAATGCCGAGTTACATATCAATATCTTTCCTTACATATCATGCATGCTTTAGCAATTATCTCTCTTTTCAATTCATGGTTGACTTATTTATATAAGAATCTACAGAACATAAAGTGGGGATCAGTTTCCTATTGTCACTAACTACTAAAGTGATCACCCCATAATTACTACATATTAATATCCTTCCTTAGGTATCATGCATGATGGAGGCTTTGGCGATCCTGTCTCTTTTTGATTCATGATTGACTTGGCAGAAGAATTCCTGCAGTAGGCTGTTGTTACATTCTGCAGTAGACTGGTTTCTATTTAATCCATAGCTAGGGGGAAGAGAAGAATTCAGGCTTTTGCCAAGGGTATTTGCATGTAAGTGAACCTGAGTGAAATTTGAACTTGGCTCTCTGATTTCTCATTTCAAACCATAATCTTTCACACCACCCGCACATCCAAGCTTACAACACCTGGTATTTCCAAACAGCCATCCACCACCAGGCTTAATGTTGCTTAACTTCAGTGATCAGATGAGAAGTGTTTCAACGTGATATGACAGTAGGGATAATAAAAAAAAAAAAAGTTTTGTTGTGGTCGTCTTGCCTTTAAGATAAGGATCACTAGCCTATGAAGTAGTTAGATGAAAACAATTTATTCCATTAGTAATTGAAAAAGACTGTGTTGGTTATCTATCACATATTGGTAAGACTGGCAAACCAAATCCAAATTCCACACTAATCTGTTGCATTCATTTTCCCACAAATGCCCTTGGAGAAGACATGAACCTATCTATTTTTCCCACTCACAGCTTTTGACTAAATAGGGCTCTCTAGCCTTGGGTAGGAACCAGCCTAAGAAAAAAAAAAAAAAAAAAAAAAAAAAAAAACAACAAAAAAAAAAAAACAAAAAACAGCAAAGTTGGAACTTCATGCCCACAAAAAAAAAACTGTATCAAAAAGGATGGTTTTACCCTTGACACTGCTATCATTTTAACTACCTTCAGTCAATGACACTGTTTATTGTTTTAAAAAGAAATTAGAATTGTAATAAAACCTAAATTCATATAAAAGTAAATTTATACATTTTCTTTGTTCTTAAGAATGGACAACAAATATAATAAGCACTATTCATTAGAACATTTATTGGAATTGTTGGCAAAACATTGCCTAACTGCCAATTGATTTATAAAATGGTAAATAATATGGATTTCCTTATAGTTGGTTCAAAAATGTTAATTTATTAAATGTTTATAAATAAAAAAATTATTTTCATATTTATTTCATCATAAATTGGTAAATGATAAATACAACATTAGTTTTAATACAATTGTATTAGTCTTTAGAATGTTATAAATATGAAATTATTCTTGTAAATAAACAATCTAATAAATAAATGGTGTTTAATATTTTTGTTGGAAATTCTTAACAAAAACGTATATATTTACATTTACGTTTATTACAATTCTAATCATTACTTTTCAAAACAGTAAACATTGCCAAGGAGTGAAGGTCGTTAAAATAATAGTGGTATCAATGAAAGTACCGTCTTTCTGACACTACATTTTTTTGGCATGCCCAAAGGTCCAAGTTTGCCAAAAAACCTTGGTAGCTTGGCAGGCAGGGATGAAACGCTACCAATTTGACAAAACAAGCTCATCTGTACACAGTCAAGTCTTACCAAATAGCTATAAATGTATTTTATTTGTTACTTTTTTTTTTTTTTTTTTTACTATAGTGTAACATATGCAATATGTTTAAGCTATGTGTTTGTAAGAGGAACTATTTTCATTATTACTTCTTACTACAACATTTGGGTTGGTTTATATCAAATGGGAAGGTAAGTGGGCTGAAAAGATCTTAGCCTAACCAAGAAGAGATTTAAAAAGAGTACTTTGTCAGATTTTGGTAAGTGTATCAAGCAGGGAACTTTTCAGCACCTTGTAGAATGAGAAACAAGCTGACCATTGTAATAAAATGTCTATCAAGCAACACTAACAAGACAAAATATAAACTAGTCAAAAATAATTAAAGTGCTTTATCTAATTAATTTCTGACGACTTAAAGACTACCTCTTCACCAGCTTTGTATGACAACCAGTCTAAGAGAAGGAAAACTGAATTCCAAACTATGGAGAAGGCAACAGGAAACCACTCCACTATCTTTCTCAAGAAGCTATGGCAATTCACAGATTGTTGTCTGTGAATTACCATGCTATCTTTGGGAAGATAGTGGAGAGCCAAGATCACCTGCATCCTGAATGAACATAACATTTAAAATAGAATTAAAAAAAAAAAAAGAACAAAAAACACAGAAGCTAAGAAAAAGAATTAGTTTATGCTATGGAAGACATAGACAGATGCAAGTGTGTATGCATCACCTCCTTTTATTACAGTGAATAGGATGCCATATGTGCATAAAAACTGGTAAATAGACTTAAGGAGTTTGAAGTGAGTTTTGTTTTTTAGCGCTATCTGAAACTAAATATTAGTGTCCTCGTATTTCATGGCATTACTGTTGTAAGAACTTCCTTGAGTATACAAGTGTTTATTGTTGTTTCACAATCTGATTACATTACACCATTTTCTAAATGAAGTGGATAGGGTTTCAGCCTTCACAAAATACTCTTTGAATAAAGGTCAAAAGTGTCACTTATTGTTTCTGTTGCCTTTTCAAAAGACAGTGTATTTGTTTCAATAAAGTTTTATTAGTTTCTTGGCTGTTTTCAAGTATCAATAGTCAGTCAATGAAAATGCTCTCCTATCAGAAATTGAAATTTTTAACAGCTCTTCATTCAAGAGATTCTTAGCAGATAAATTTAGCCACTTCACTAATATCAAGCTCAAGGTTAAAGCTGTACAAAATTTTATGACTAATTTTCTTTGTATATTTCCTTATCCATTTACAAATTAAGGGCAAAAGGTTCTTTTTTTTTTCAAATACTATTTATATAAGCCTAAGCTCATGCAAAAAGAAATAACCTTTTAAAGAAAAAAAAAAAAAAAAATCAACTTTTTGTGGATGTGTTAACTTTTAGAGAATTGTATCTCTGCTCAGACTTCCTCAGTTTAACCTCAGGGGTTAGATACAAGACAAAACAATGAAGTTAATTTTGATTGGCTGAGCCAGCATGAGAATGATAGAGATATAGAAAGGTTTTTTGGGGAGTTGAGTCTTAACCATCAAACAATGTAGACATGTTCTAATGTGCTAATAAGCTTTTCAACATTGGTTGTTAACTTACAAAAAAAAGAAGAAAAAAAAGAGAAAAAAGATAAGAAAAAGAAAAAAGAAAAAAAGAAAAAAGAAAAAAGAAAAAAAGAAAAAAGAAAAAAAAAAAAAAAGAAAAAAAAAAAAGAAAATAAAAGAAAAAGAATAAATAAAAGAAAAAGAATAAATAAAAGAAAAAGAATAAAAGAATAAAAGAAAAAGAGAATAAAAGAAAAAGAGAATAAAAGAAAAAGAAAAAAGAAAAGAAAAAAGAAGAAAAGAAAAAAGAAAAAAAGAATGAAAGAAAAAGAAAAAAGAATAAAAGAAAAAGAAAAAAAGAATAAAAGAAAAAGAAAAAAGAATAAAAGAAAAAGAAAGAAAAAGAATAAAAGAAAAAGAAAAAAAGAAAAAGAAAAAAAGAAAAAAGAATAAAAGAAAAAAGAATAAAAAAAAGAATAAAAGAATAAAAGAAAAAAAGAAAAAAAAGAATAAAAGAAAAAGAAAGAAAAAAAAGAAAAGAAAAAGAAAAAAGAAAAAAAGAATAAAAGAAAAAGAAAAAATAAAAGAAAAAAGAATAAAAGAAAAAGAAAAAAGAAGAAAAAGAATAAAGGAAAAAGAAAAAGAAAAAGAATAAAAGAAAAAAGAATAAAAGAAAAAAGAATAAAAGAAAAAAAGAATAAAAGAAAAAGAAAAAGAAAGAAGAAAAGAAAAAGAAAAAAGAAAAAGAATAAAAGAAAAAGAAAAAAAAGAATAAAAGAAAAAAGAATAAAAGAAAAAGAAAAAAGAAAAAAGAATAAAAGAAAAAAGAATAAAAGAAAAAAGAATAAAAGAAAAAAGAATAAAAGAAAAAGAAAAAAGAAAAGAATAAAAGAATAAAAGAAAAAAAGAATAAAAGAAAAAAGAATAAAAGAAAAAGAAAAAAGAAAAGAATAAAAGAATAAAAGAAAAAAAGAATAAAAGAAAAAGAAAAAAAGAATAAAAGAAAAAGAAAAAAAGAATAAAAAGAAAAAAAGAATAAAAGAAAAAGAAAAAAATAAAAAGAAAAAAAGAATAAAAGAAAAAGAAAAAAAGAATAAAAGAAAAAAGAAGAAAAAGAATAAAAGAAAAAGAAAAAAGAAGAAAAAAAAAGGAAGAAAAAGAATAAAAGAAAAAGAAAAAAGAATAAAAAGAATAGAAGAAAAAGAAAAAAGAATAAAAGAAAAAAGAAAAAAGAAAAAGAAAAGAATAAAAGAAAAAAGAAAAAGAAAAGAATAAAAGAAAAGAGAAAAAAAAAGAGAGAAAAAAAATAAATAAAAATAAAAAACACCCATTCCCCAGTAGTCTGGTCCACACATGCAGATGCATGCATGTAGAGGGGGATAATGATCAGAAAAATGAGCAACTAACTTTTTCAAAGCAATGTCACTGAAATGCACTATCGACTACCTGTGCTCACATCCACTGTTTGGTTTCTCTGTCAATATTCACCAAGCTTTGATGAATGTCAGTGGGTGTGATTTTTATTCTACATGGAAAAATTCAATCATACGCCTCTGCTTCATACAATTTCAAAACTGCCACACAGATGCTGCTTGAGAGGATTTACCAGCAGGAATGTTTAAAAAGTAGAATTTAAAAAAATGTGTGCAAATGCAACAGAGTATAAATTTTCATGCCCTATAGGAGTCAACTTTAGTTGGGATCATCAAGTCAATGCAGATGACTTTTCCTTTAGCTGAATAGTATGTGCCAAACCAGGGCTACATACCCACCCCCTACACATTACAAATGGGGCTTTACTTCACCATCTTCACCATTTCTTTTAAAATGTGACTTTCAAATGAAACTAAGGGGTGGAGTTAAGTTGTTTTTTTTTCTCATGGTCAAGTTCCCTAAACTTTTTGGTAACACCTTCTGTGTGCCATTTACATACCAGGTTGGGTACTGAAGAATTCTAAACAAAACTGAAAAGCCCTTAAAAATGGTCAGATTTTGAAAAACTGGTTGACCCAAAAATTTTCACCAACTGATTTGATAAAGTAGAAAAGATTATATTGAATCCATTGCTAGGTCTGCTGCAAGAAATGATAGTTCAGTCTTATGCTAGACAATTTTTCCATCTTACATATTGATAAGTGTACTATTCATCCATGTTTTGAATATCGCTGCCATATCCAATGTGGTGCTGCTGCTATATATTTAGAGATTTTTGATAAAATCTAAAGAATCTGCAATGTTATTTGTCCTGACATCCTAGTTTCAGTCACTTTCCCACCACTGTAACGTAGCTTCCCTGTGTCCTTTTTTATAAATACTTTCATGGTAATTGGCCTGATGAACATTCCTCTATGGTACCGAGACTTTATGAATTTAAGTGCAATACCAGAATGGCAGCAAGGTATCATCAATTTACAGTTGAAATGACTAGATAGCAACATAAATTCTATGCTAACAGTTCATTTTTTTCACACTTCTTGCATGTGGAACTTTCTTCCTGCCTCTTGCTTTCACAGCCAAGTTTGATCTTGAAAAATTTAAGTGCAATGACAATTATCTTAATTCTTGTTCTTTTATTGTTCTCTCTCCTTAGTGTTTTTTTTTTCTTATATTCTCCCACACTCAGTAACCTCTTGTGTACAAGTGTTTTTATTGCTTTGCTTTGGGCAAAATGATTAAAAAAAAAAAAATATATACATGCACAAAAGTTAATTGGAGTCTAGAGAGCATCATTGCTATCCACAAAAATAATAAAATAAATTTTTAAGTACAGGTACTAAAAACATTGCTTATCACACCTTTTACTTGGCTGGACTTGCTTGTGAAGTTTTAAGAGGTGATAAAAATAAAATGGCTATATCATTCAAGGTGGATCAAGAGGTTGAGGAGAACTTCATAAACAGTGATGGATTGTGTTGCCATAAACACACCTGTGGCTTTGCACCATTCAAATTCCCCTAGCAGATATGTGATACAATCAGACTTCATACTAACCTAATTTTAAACAGTTGTAAGATGGGTCAATCAATCTTTAGTGATCGCCACATCTGATAGACTATCAAGATATAAAACAAATCTTTTTTTTTTTAAAATCCAGTGAAATTCCAAGAAGGCAAAACTCACCATTTCCACAATCTTTTGCAAAGTCCTCTCATCAATGTCACGATCATCACTTGGTTCAATTAGATGCAAGTGTTTCACAGGAGACATCGGTGCTCCACACAATTCAAGTCCTTCGATGCTGAAAAGACATTTTATTTGCTTTTAATTTTCTTAATGACACATCAAATAAAGAGATTAGATAAACTCACATTTTACAAAATCTCACTAAATGGTAACTGTAGAAAAAAATTTTTTCAAAAAATAGTGAATATATTAAAAACTAATACATTCCCATTATATAGAAATGAATAGAAGACAATTTATTCATACATAATAATAATAGTCAAAGTCATTCAAAATTTAATTTTTCAAAAACTGCTTAGATTATTCAATTCATTCTATTGCTTGGGTGATTATATGTTTGCTTATCCATTCCATAACATTCTTGACGTGTTGAATCTTGAAGGAATGACAAGGGATATTTTTCCTTCAGAAAGAGATGAAGATGACAAAATAGTGGTTAATGTACCAACACAATGTTCATTAGAAAAAAATGTCATACAAGTATACCTCACTATGTCATTAATTGGTTCCAGAGATAACAACTTAGGTCGAAAAATGACTTAAGTCAAAGTAACCACACTATAAACTGCAAAAAAGCATTCCCCATTGCCTATTACAGTAATTATGATATGTACATACAGTATTCTGAATAAAATAATTTCTACCTTGTCCTCCAGTGATATAGCCTTAACATTGAGACTTTCAGAGCCATAGGCAAAAATGTATTCTAAATCACAATTGAAATGTGATTGAAAGAATGTCAACAGCAGAGCACAGATGTAAACAAGTCTGAATTAAAAATTGACGCTGGAGCAGAAAATAATGCAAGAGTACTGCCTGTCATCAGGAATTTGAAATAAGAACATCTGCTGAACATATTTAAATTTACATGGGTTAATTTTTATATATATATATATATATATATATATATATATATATGTGTGTGTGTGTATGAAATCAAAATCAAAATATATATATATATATATATATATATATATATATATATATATATATATATTTAAAATTTATTTAAATGTGATTTTATGTGTTTATTGTTATTTTAGTGTTTTAATATTTTTAACGGCCAATGTAAACTCAAGTAAAACAACCTAAAGAGAGTTTTTTTTTTCTATATAATATTTAAGAAAAACCAACATTTTAAGTAAATGACTTAATTCAAACGACTTAAACTGCAGTATCATTGTACAGCATATTTGATCCTTAAAGAGGACTTTGTCAGACTAACCTAAATGTTTTCTTATTGATGGAATCATATATAGGGGAAAAGGAATAAAAATATAAAATCATAGTTAAACCTCAAAAGAAACACTGAAAAGACAGGAATGCTTTAACCAAGTTTAAATTTCTGGCATCCAGATACACAGCCGAGATGACTTCGTTTGGTTTCTTTGTTTTTAAATATCCATGTTATTATAGATGTAGATTTTTTTTTTTTTTTTTAAGAAAGGTGAAATGTTGTAGGAACCTGGATATAAACTTATGAAAAATTCAGAAATTAATGCACTTTCTATACATCTTCACCATTTCATCTATGTATTTCTTGTGACTTATTTCAGTCTATAGTGTAAATTCCTGCTTCAGGTTTTAGGTTATTTTGTATTAATCTGATTTATTCATTTTCTACAGCTTATCAACCCTTTGTAAATTATTTAAAGACAGAAAATATTTTTAGACTGTAAGATTTTTTGTTTTGAAAATAATAACTGTTTTGTGATAAAAGTCTCACTAATTAACCCATAGCTGAAGAGAGAGGAGGTGGATTCCTACCTTTCTCAAGGGTAATTGCACATAAGTGAATATAACAAACCCAACGAGAATTGAAACTCGGCTTTCCAATTAACAAGCCATTATCCATTACATCATCTAGACATCCGAGTTTACAGCACCTGATATTCCCAAGCAGTCACCATTGAGGTACTGATCAGGATCAACACTGCTTAACTTCAGTGATCATATGGGAAACAGTGTTTTAAAGTGATGTGACCGTAAGCCTGTTTTGCATTAAATCTCTTGTAAAAAAATTTTGTGTTAAGTTTAGATAAATTTTTTTCAATTGTAGTTTTATTGAAGTTATTAATATTACTTATTTTCCCAGTTTTATAAATCTAATGAGCTTTCTTTTTAGCGTTATCTATGAAATAATTTAGATATTAGACAAGTTTAAAAGTATTTTCAATGCATTTCTCTTCATATAAATATTAAGAGCTACAAGCTGAGTGCTCTTAAATAGGAGTCAATAATTTTTTCAGATTTTATTTTGTTGTTATGATGAGAATAGAAATTTATGAGATCATTTTTATTAGTAGATTTGCTAACATTTAGTTTTAGGTCATCATTATGGTTTAAAATGATATTAAAGGAAGATAATGGTTTCATAAGTCAATTTATTGTACATTCAATAGTGTTTAGTTTATTTAAAATATCGAGTAATGTTGTTATATCAATAAAACATCAATATGTCAGAAATATAGACTGTGTCAGCTAGGTTGTGCATCTAGACACATAGGATACCAGAAATTTAAAATTATGCATAAACTCCAACACTTCTCTTGTGATTTAATTATAGCTGACATTTGTTTATATTTTCGTTCTCTCTACCTACATATATGTGATTCCATCAATAAAAACAATCTGAAGAAGTCCTTTTGAGGGATGAAACACATTAGATTTTTTTTTTCATTGTCATTAATTACCCACCAGTGTTCTGATATACAGAATTTAGATACCATAGTCTCTAATACTGTTTATTACCAACAACACAAATCACAGGTGATCAAATTCTCAGTCGCCATTGAAACACAGATGATTCTAATTCCATCGCTGCTAAAGAAGGAAAATTAAAAGCTGTGAAATTTATTAAAATGTCACGTCTTTCAAAGATTAACTTTGAAATCTTGATATTTCTTTATCATCAAGAGGCAATTTTCGTAAAAAATTTTCAAAATACCAAACTTAAAAATAAATAAAATGTATATATACATTTTAAAATCATAAAAGAAAGATCTTTATATGGAATTAAAAGGTAAATTGCACAGGCCATTCTTATTAAAATTCTTACCCTGTTAGTTTTTCATGGACCTCTTCACATTTATCCCGCAACTGTTTTATGATGTCTGGAGAGGGGAAGAAAAAAAAAAAAAATTTTTTTAAATACAATTCAATCTTGGAGAAAAAAAAAATTCTTGGCTCTGTAATGAGCATATCTGAGAAGCAAAAGCAAAATTTGAGAACTGATTCCAGTTGTAAAAGAATCAACATTACACATCCTGGTGGTATATGCTAGAATCTGAACATCAAAGCCAAATATGATTTTCTGTGTAAACATGAAAACAATTTTATTTACCCTCATGCAATAAACCATAACCATCAATTCCAGCAAAGATTTGTCCATTCTTAAAAAAAACTGGTGCATAAAAACATTACAAAAACAATGTTCACTCACAACAAGGCAGAAACAGCAAGAAAAAAAAAAAAAATCCTCCAAATTTTGGTTCAACATTTGACGAATTATAAAATGTGCTTTAACCATAACAACTGGTACAAGGAAGAACTATTTTGGATATACATTTGAATTATCACACACACACACACACACACACACACACAAAAAGGAAATTTTTTTTTTTAATTCATATTTTTGGTGATGATTTAACAGTGTTTTTGTTTTAAAAAGACTTAAACAATTACATAAGTACTTTATCACATTTTCCACTCCAATAACCATTACACGACCCATACACCCCTTATTTTAGGAATCACTGGACATATTCATCTATATAAATAGAATATTACAAGAATATTAGAATACAAGAATAGAATATTACAAGAATATTAGAATACAAGAATAGAATATTACAAGAATATTACAAGAATATTAGAATACAAGAATAGAATATTACAAGAATATTAGAATACAAGAATAGAATATTACAAGAATATTAGAATACAAGAATAGAATATTACAAGAATATTACAAGAATATTAGAATACAAGAATAGAATATTACAAGAATATTACAAGAATATTAGAATACAAGAATAGAATATTACAAGAATATTAGAATACAAGAATAGAATATTACAAGAATATTACAAGAATATTAGAATACAAGAATAGAATATTACAAGAATATTACAAGAATATTAGAATACAAGAATAGAATATTACAAGAATATTAGAATACAAGAATAGAATATTACAAGAATATTACAAGAATATTAGAATACAAGAATAGAATATTACAAGAATATTACAAGAATATTAGAATACAAGAATAGAATATTACAAGAATATTAGAATACAAGAATAGAATATTACAAGAATCCAGATTCATTATACGTACATTTAATCTTAACTAAAGTGAAACCACCATATCCAGATTGGTTGCAATTTTATTTTTCATCAATGCATTATTAAAGGATTCAAAATACTTTTCTTTTCTTTTTAAAAGAGTCTCTAACAGTGATGTTAATCTGAATTTTTATTATTATTTTTAGAATTATGATTTGGGGGTTGCAGGCAAAAATTTCAGAGTTGGCCTATTTTCATGCATGATAAAATTTTGAATTAATTTTTTTTCTAATTCAAAATCATTTCAAAATATTTGTGACAATTGAATAGAGAAATTCTGAATCCAGAAATGATGAAGGTTTAGATTCTTCCAAACTTGTATTCTCATTTTAATTGTTTTTAAGCCACATTTCAGCCATTGCAATATTAAGATTTCCATTGAATGTCGAGCATCACTTTATAATCCAGCAATGTGATTAAGAGAAATCTGAGAAAGTTATGAAGGACAGAGCGCAACTTAATATCAGATCACTGGAAAAAGTCCCAAAAGCTGAGAGGAAAGAGACGAAGAAGTGGATATTAGAGTTGGAACCATCCAGATGACAGCATTAACGAAAAAAAATTAAGATGCTGAGAAGAGTGCTGAGCATTGTTGGCACCTCATTTTAAATGAAAGCCTCCTGTTGCTATGAGTGTCAACTCTCTACAATGAAAAAAAAGAATAAAAAAAAAGAATAGTAACCCAGTTAAGAAAGGAGGGAAAGAAATGCTTACCAGGATTTTCTTCTACCATTCGGAAAGCCTCAATACCAGCAGTAACACAGAGTGGAGGTTGCGAAGCAGAAAAACAATATCCCTGACCTGACAGTCTCTGAAAGAAAAAGCAGGGAAAAGGGTAAGATTTCCTGGCACACTCACATTTCAATGGGTCAGGGAACAGCAAGCATCATTTACTGAACAACTGGGCTGGTGCAAGAGTCTCATAACTTGCAACTCCCTGAATCTATGATACCGACCCTTCCACTCTACTACATCTAAATTTTCGTAAAGGTACTATTCATAGAAAATACACATTTTATTGTAACCTAACAATATACAACATACAATAATGGATCATATATATATATATATATATATATATATATATATATATATATATATATATATATAACACAATAATGGATCATATGCAATATAGGTGAACAATTTAACTAGAAAAAATTGAAACTAAATACAATCTATTTACAAATTAAAGATCCATCAATATTTTGTGGCTATTTTTTTTTTTTTTTTTTACATCAACTTGAGATTTTTCTTGTTAAAAAGTTAAATTTTAATACATTCAAGATTATGGATTAACAAATAGTGAATTTTAGTGTTTTTTTTTTAAATTTAGCAAGAACAAAACAAATTCAAAGATGAGAAGGATGAGAAAAGAAAAGACCATCAGACTAATGTCAAAATCCAGAAGTTTTTCATCCTTTAATAGTCAGTTGTGCTTAGTTTAATTTGTGACATTTATAAATGTAAGTAGAAACAAAGCAAATGTTGACAAATCACTGCCCAGGTCTCCAGTCAAGATTTTGGATTTACTACTCACCAGCATGCTAAAAATAACTCTGCCAATGTTAATATCTTCTAGTTATGCCAAACACAGTAATAAGAATATGGCTAAGCAAAAGGTTATAAAAGAAAATAGCTTTTCTTAGCCTATATTCCACATCATATTTTATTTACAAGAATAAAGCAAAACAAGAATAATGAAAAAAAAAAAAAAAACGTAAACCACTGGAACACACCCCTCACCCAAAGCTTTGCACTTACTGGCCAATAATTAGCCCACACTGAATTTTGGTTCTTCATCTCAGTGTGCAATGAAAGCTGGGAAAGGGCCCACCGTATGCTCACAAGGCAAAAGACAAATTCCACTGAGTCATAAGAACGCAAACCCTGTTTAAAATATTATAAAATAAATGTTTTATTCTGTGCTGGGCTTTCTCATCTGGGGGCGGGGTACACTTGGGAAAACCTTTGCTATGTTGGTCTAACAATTCAGCTCTCCCCACACCAACTCCTGGCACATCTACTGATCCTGATATGGTGGCTGGCAATATGAATGTACAGCACAGGAACTACACAAAAGAAGACAAATCAGTCTCTTGTCAATGGCAAGCCAGAACTCCCTCCAATCCCAAACATGTAGACTAGCACCCAGATATACCATTATTTCCATTTTTGATTTTCACAAACCCCTCATTCACTGCTTTACTTCATACCCTGACTTTGGTCAAAGTGGATGCCACTTAGAAAACTAGGCTTTTAAAAAAAAAAAAAAAAAAAAAGTGGAAGAATGTTTTATCGTCTTACTTGAGATGAAATGATTAAAAAAAAAAAAATCTTTCAAGACTTAATGAAGCGGCCGAAGAAGGGGTTAGCTCATTTGATCCAGGAACATGAGTTGATCATTAATAATTATATTAACCTTAATTTAACAAATTTAGACCAAGGGAGATAATTTGAGAAATCTCAACAAGGGAGATAATTAAAAAAATTTATTGACAGATCAACAGAAAACAACAATGTGATGACTTCATTATCAACTGACTTACCTGATGATCAATAATATACTTTTTGCCAACGCACAGGCCACCAGTGCTGGCAAAAGCATTTTCCAGAGAAGCAGCTAAAAAATCTATTTCTTCAATCTGAAATGAATGAAACAATAATTGTGTTACTAGTAGGTATTGTGCCAAAAAAAGTGGTACCTATTAAGTCTAAAATGAATTTAAAAAAAAAAATCTTTCTTAAAGCTTTTATTTTAGTTTTAATTCCAAGTTTACATATTACATTTAATATTACCAATAAGCAAAATACTTTACTTTAATTCAATTTTCCAGAAAGCTAGATCTCCGATTAATCTTAAACATTACATATTAGTTATCCCAAACCAGCCCAGCTTATGGTGTGAAAATGGGTTCAACTGGCAATATCTTGAGTATTTTTAAAGTTATTTTGATAAAATTAGTATGTAAAGAAAATTTAATGTTTTTCTCTTTATAAAAGATACAATTCTTTCTGTTGTGTGATAATTAGTTTTCATTCCAGGTCTCTTTAAATGAGGTCACATTTCAGTGACAAGCACTTCTTTTTCCGCATTTTCAAATCAGAGAATTTTGTTCATGTTTTGAAATTTTCTGCACTTGGAGTTTGTTCATATACATATCAAATTAGTCCTATTTTAAAGAAAAGAGGATGCTCGTCAATTTGGTGGGGTTAAAATAAAATTTGAGGTTATTTTTCACAAAAAATTTCCAAGTTAAAAACTTCAGTGGATGAAATACAAGAGAAATTCACTTATAAAAAAAATGAAAATTACCTCTTGTTATAGAGTAATGTTTCCTGTTTAATAACCAGTTCATTTCATATCACTACATCCAACCAACTTGAAGCACAAGCAAATATACAAGTGTTTTTTTAAATTTGAATTCACCAAGTGCCCTGAGCAACATCAGATTTTAAAGGTCTGGAGCTTTTTTAAATCCAACTGGTTTCATCAATGGACATTTCAGTTTACAGTTTAAATCTTTTTCTTATATTCCTTATGTTTATTTTAAAGTTGTATAAAGTAAATTACTTATTGCATAAGTAAATAGACTTTAAAAAATATGCTGGAAATACATAATTAAATTTTACACACTCATATTTGCCCATAGAAAAACAAAGAAACTTTATTTATGTAAAATAATGTAACTATTAAATGTACATATATAAATCTCATATTTGTCAATAGAAAAAAGAAAATTTGTGTATATAAAAAAATGAAATAAAGTATTGTAATTTTAAAATGTGTGTATGTATATATTTATAATTTATTTTTTATAAATCTTGTATTTGAGTACGTAAAATATTGTAATTTTAAAAATGCCTATTAAAATTTTATATTTACTAATTAACTAATTTTTGGGATTAGCTCCTAATTTGATGGATTAGACTGAACATTTATTTAAGTTATTTTTAATTAGACTTGATACATTTAAAAAATAAAATATTATAAAAAGGACATTTTTCAGTTGAACTACTATTTTGGATCCCTTAAAAATTATATAATCTATAAAGTTAAACATTTTTTTGGAAGATATTTTTTTACTTTTAGCATTGGAAAATATTTTTTACTTTTATACCAAATTTATTTCAATTTATTTTTGATAATTAATAAATATTACTTTAAGCTGAAAATAGGTTTTATTTTTTTTTTTACTTTTAAGCATATTTTTAAATTTTAATTAACAGTACATTTTAACACCTAATTCAACAATAACAATTCAAAAGCAAACATTGCCATTTGAAAAAAAGAATGTAACTAAAATTTTAAGTTTATTTTATGTAAATTTTCAATTGTTGTATTTTTTTTCTTTATGAAGTGAAAACCTAAACTTATAAAATTTAAGACATTTATTTTTTTGTAAAAAAAAATTTTTTATTTCTGCTTTTCCCAAATATCACAGGTCTGTTTTTTTTAGTGCTTTCCATGCCTGAAGATTACTTTAGGTTTTTAAATTTCCATGTACTTATGATGAATATTTAAAAAATTTCTGTTCAGTGGATCATTAACTAAACATCCTGAGAGATTGTTTTCTTGTAAGTGAAAAAACAGGCAGGCCAAAGAAGATTCCAAAGTCCTTGCAATGTACTAAAAGGTTGCTGATGCAGTTAAAAACACTATATTATAAAAAGAAAGTGGAAATCAGTGTTGGGTAATGGAGGGTGGGGTAATGGGTTGACAGTAACACCAAGTAATCTGAGTACAATTTTGGTGAGGTCTCATCAATTTTGTAACTTTTATGGTTTCAAGAACCATGAGGGAAGCACTTAAATAGGTGAAGAACTCACAGGTTTAGATGATTTAACAAAAAAAAAAAAAAAAAAAAAGGAGCAGTCATTTTTTTTTTTTTTTTCTATTATGTGATACAAGAATTGTACATTTTTACTTGCAGGTTTCTGCAAACTATCCTAATACAAGGATGGAACAGTTAAGATTGATGAAGCAAGTTCAATAAACATTTAACGAGGACACATGGCACAGTGGATAAGGCGTTGGTTAAATCCAGTGACAGGACCCAAAGAGTGTGTGTTCAATACCTGGTTAAGGCAGTGGAGAATTTGGAGAGGGGAATTAACAGGAGATAACTGACATCCATTAGACACGGCACGTGGAACTAGAACAGTCTACCCCAGTGAGCAAAATAAAGGGTTCAGTTCAACATTCCAACCACCTGAAGAAGGCTGGAGTGTACAATGGCCAAGAACGTTGTAAATATGGCAAGAAAGATGAGGACAATAGTCCGAATAATGTAAATAGTGTACATTTAACACAGCCAAGAAAATTTTAGCCACTAAAGGAAAAGAATGACTTAAGAGCCTTTTTAAATTCAATTCTTCCCATGATGCTTTTTTTTGTAGCTGATGAAGTCACTGCCATTGAAATTACATCACATGAACTTGAAGACTCAATGACTAACTCTGGTGTCACTCTGATGAAGAAGAACCTTATCAAGTGATCTTCAGATATGGGTTGCCATATACTATGATTCCAGTTTTGACATTGGCCAAGTTAATGACATTACATCTCCAACCAAAAGAATCAAGTTTCTAACTTCAACTAAGAGTAGAAATGATTATTTCCAATGGTCTTTGGTGGATAACATTGCACAGGTTGAGTCAACTTTTGTCTTAAGATGGTACTTTGGTGTCTAATTCCAGTTTCAAATGATGGTAGAATCTGGAATGTTCCAGAAATATTAGTCATAGAAGCCTATAAAAAAAATTCACACTGCAAATCACCATTAGGAGAGGAAGTGCAGTAAGGTTCAAACTACCCAGAAAGTCTTTATCCTCAGTTACAATAAATGTAGTTTTACTCATTTCAATTTTTTTGTATTTTTTTTTTTTATTTAAAAATTGAGTTTTAAGGTTTTACAATGAGCATTTGTTTGAAACACTGACCACTGATTCATTTTGTAGAACAAGTTTCAAAGTTTTGATGTCAGTCCTTTTTTGGGAAAGTCAAAAATTGTATAAATGTACAAAAGTTTTAAAAAATCAAATATATTTATGAGAAAAAAAAAATCCTAAAATTATAGACAAAATAACTGTTTTGTTGAATTCTTCTTCTTAAAATGAGTCAAGTTTCAGGCTTGTACCTCTACCAGATACTTTTTTACAGTAAGTTATTTTTACCCTTTTTTTCCTATCAAATTTTGTTTCCACATGAAATGGGGAAATAAGAGTTGTTTTACTGATGTACACCCATAAAAAAATATTTAATTTCTAATGTACTATGAAACATTAAGTTTCAATGACTTAACTATAGAATTTAAATTTATATGAATGGTCAAAGCTGCCTTTCTGCATTATATTTCCATTGTTTTTAGGACAGAATGTGATGCCCCTCCCCCGCCTGTTTAGGCAGATCTTATTTAATAATTATTAATTTCATTAGTATTATCTTTTTTTATGACTTCATGCCACTGTTTTTATGATTCTTCATTTGTTTGAAGTCTATATCTTCACATATAGACTGTTAAAATGGGCTTCTGGCTTAATTGCACTAAAGACAGAAAATTCAACAAAATTTCAACAGTCATAATTGAAGAACCACACAATTATTAATACAATTTTCAGGATTTCATAAGTGTATTTTTAAAAGTTTTGCATATCTGAAGACTTTCAACTATTCTTTTAGCCATTATCAAGGGCTCCCTTGATTTTTGATTTTTAACTGAATGTGTGGTTTATGTATGTGTCTAAAATTACAGGAATGTTTTATTTTCTGAACATGGTCAGCACATTTTGGCCATGTTCATAGTTAATGTTATTGAGTGTTGGTTTTTCTCTTTTTTTATAATTAGGGCTTCCTTTATTTTGAATTTTTTTTTTTTAACATGTTTACTTTGTGTTGGTGTATTTGATGACACAGCGTGTTTGGCCAATTCTCTGGGTAGAAGGAAATAGACAGCAGTCTGCACTTCACGGATAATAATGGTCAATCATATATGTGTTCGTGTGTGTGAGAGAGAGAGTTGGCACACAAGCAAGACAAAAAAAAAATAGTAATTTTTTTTTTTTTTTTTTTTTAAATTCTTTATGGTTTATGAAAGATTAACGTTTATGCTCCTTTTAAATATATCTTTGTTCACACGTTTCAACCCCACAAAATCTTACATTAATTGTTCAATGATAAGAGGTACTAACAGAAATAGTTGTCATTTTCAAAAATATTATAAAAGCAAAAAGAGAATATAAAATAAAGAAAATTACTCACTGGGATTCCAAAATGTTCAGTGAGACCACGACCATTCTTTCCAAACACACCCAAGCTGAAACTTTCCTCCAAAAAGATCCGCACTTTATACTTATATTTGAATTCCAGAATTTTGGGCAAAGGGCAAATGTCTCCATAATTCATGTAGACACCTTCCACAGTAATAAATTTCCTTGTGATTTTGGCCTTTTTAGGATTCTGAAAATTAAACAAAAATGTTAGGTATAATTATTATTATAATTATATGATTATTAATAATCAACACTATGTAATGATTTTTTTTTTATCCTGTGACCCTTAGGGTCACCATGTGTACTGCAAACAGAAACAGAAATGGTGTTTCTTGGGCAAGGTAGTCTGACAGAGCCCAACCCTCTCCAGACTGCTTTTGAATTCAGAGTTTTTCCTTCTCCTAGGCCAGTTGCCACCCAAGGTTATAGAACCCAGTCTGTCTTTTTATTTACCCCTAGAAAGAGAATTCGTATGTTTCCCAAGAGTTTTCGCACATAAATGAATGTAATGGATCCGAAGGGAATTCGAACTAGGTTCTATCTGTAATGTAATAATTTTCAACGCGTATTTATATATTTCGCGGCAAGTTAAGGGTGTAAACCTTGATTAACTCTTTGTTGAGTTATTTCCCTTTTATAACAACAGCATTTACATTTGTCTACAAAATAGTTAATATCAAAACTAAAAATGGTGTATCAATGATTCTTATGTCTGTTGAGTCATATATGGAACAAATATTACAAACCCTTTAATGACTGGTGTATATTGTATATGGAACAAAGTAGGTCATCAGCCTTTTTGAATTCTGGATCTCTGTTTTATTGAATCTCAAAACTTTTGTTTCATTGCGTCTCAGTATTAAAACTTTAACAATTGCCAAAGCATTTGATGGCACGTGTACAATCAGGATCATAATAAATGTGTAAATGTCCATATTCGACACCGGTGAGCAATATTACTGACAACATATTAAATATTATTGAATTAATATTTAGTAATGTTGACAACTTATTTTAGTATCTAAAAATGTTCTCGGGAAAGATTTTTTTCTTTTTTACAGTGTTGTTTTAAAGAAAAAGAAAGTCCATACATTTTAGTAAACTGTAAGAAAATGATTTTAATCCTTTCACTGCGTAATTATTTTTAATAGTCATTCCTGTATGGACGTTAATTATCCACAAAAAACAATATCCAATCCCTCTTAATCCCTGTTCTGCCAAACATTTACACAAGCTTGTCAGGTAACTTATTTGCTGTTTTCCTGTCCCCCCTTGCATTCAATATGTCCTGTGAGTGCCAGATTATCCAAGTCTTCTTTCCTCATTATGTACCCTAGAAATTTCAATTGTCTTTCTGATTCTAAGTAGAAGTGTTACCATTTTCCTTAAAACTTTGTCATTGCTCACAGGTTCATTCCATGGGATTCTCAGCATCCTTCTGTAGAACCACATTTCTGTTGAGTCTTCATCTCTGAGGAGATTGGACAACATTTACTGTCATATAGGAACACCTATATCACATAACAGTTCAACAATCTTTTCTTTGTTTCTAACAAAATCTTCCAGTTTACATTATGTTAGGAGAAGAAGCAGTTTAACAGTTATCAGGTATTATCCATTGCAATTGCTATCTGCTTACAACATTTACTGATCCTGGTAAGGAAGCACTTCCACATCCTCCAGTCATGGCATCAGGTTAACCGTTATTTATGAAGTCTCAACAAAAGAAGACGATCATCATCCAGTGACATTGGATTTTATTTTCACTGACATTTAAAGCGAGCTTGGATTATATGTAAAACTCAAGAGTTTGGTAATCCTAATAAGTGAGAGTTAAAAGGAAAAGAACTATCAGCTGAGGTTATTTTCACTTTGCACTAAAGCTTTTGGAAAAACGTGGGGGGGGGGGTTTCACTCGACATATTACTTGATTTTTTTTTTTTTTTTTTTATTAGCTTACCAAATCTTTGCAGGTAATTTAAAGGCAAAAAATAATTTTGCATTGTAAGGATTGTTTTTGGAGATAATGATTTATTGATACAAGTCCTACTTATTTAACCCATAGCTGGGGGGAGGAGAGGTGGATTCATACCTTTCCCAAAAGTATTTGTGCATAAGCGAATATGATGTAACAACTCTAATTGAAACTCGACTCTCCGATATCCAATTCCAAGCCATTATCCTTTGAACCACCTGCACATCCAAGATTACAGCACCTGGTATTAAAAAGTGGTCACCCACCTAGGTTTCTGACCAATGTTGCTTAACTTCAGTGATCACATAAGAACCAGTGTCGGGCACCTCAAGGTGGTGTAATGGTTAACAAGCTTGTCTAACTAGAACATTTACGACTGAATAGTGAGTTTGATCCTCACTGGGTGCCCCCTACTTTTGGCCTTGTGCGACATCTAAGATACGCCTGGAAAATTGCTATAAGAACTAGCATTTCAACAAGATATAGTCATAAGCCATAACAAAAATTGACAAGTTTTCCAATTTCACTGACAAAGACGTTTAACACATGAAAGCGATATTGCCTATTCTATTTTCTCTTTATTATTCTCACTGAAACAAAATAGTGTCTCTGATATGTCTTTTCCATTGTTCCTCGCTGCCAAAACAGAATAGTCCATTATTTATGAGGTATTGGCAGGACGTATTGGTCGTGCTAAAGAACAATCAGAATTATGATTATTTTTTTTTTCATTTATGTAATTTTAAGTTGTCAATCACTACAATTCTGTGATAAAAGCAAATTTCATTGTGTGTGTGTGTATGTGTGTGTGTGCGTGCACGGCAATGTCAGAAGGCACTTGAAAATCATACAACAGGTTGATCCTAGGGAAATTGAGTGAAAAAGCAGGCAAGTGGATTTTGAAAGCAGCAGCCAGCCATTACATATATATAATCTAATTCTTGTGACCTTTCTCTTCTTCATTCCAGTCTCTAACACAGGCCAGGGAACAGAAAAAAGTCAGAGAAATAAATGACAGTCTGCCATAAGAGTTAACATTAATGATGCAACCTTTTCCTCTTGAAGCCTCAAAAATAAAACTGAACCCATGAGAATGACTGAGGATTAGACAAAATGATCTTTCATACCTTTTGTTCTTCCTTCTGCTGCTGAATTAATAATTCTTCAAGGTGTTCCATATCATTGTGTCGGAAATAACGGATTTCACTACGAGAAGCCAGCAATCCCTTCTGGATTGAGAAACAGGCTCCTTCATCACTGAAAGGCAAAGTAAAGACAATAATTAGCAGATTAATTATCAAGCATTAATCAACTTAAAAATATGATACTTACTTATGGCAGTAAGATTAGGTACCTCCACGAAATCGCTAAAAAAAGAGCATAGCTTGATGAAAAAGATGCCAAACTTACCAAAAACTAAATTTTATTGTCTAAATGCTTATGTTATTATTAAGAGGAAAGACCAAAGTTTTTTTTTTTAATTATTTTTAAAAAATTTTCCTTCTTTTAGAACATTCTAAATTTTGATTAAAAAACCTTTTTCTATTTGTATCAGCGGAACTAGTAAATAACATAGACAATTTTTAGCACGTTTTTTTTGGTATGACACACATTAATTTGAAAAATCGTGCAAAAATAGAAATAATTATCGGATGTTAATGAAACTTTCAGAAACTATTCACAGATGATCGAAATTATTATAAATGTTTTTTTTTATGAAAGTCATGGTAGAAATATTTTTTTAAAAATATTTATTACCCCACCATAACTAATTTTATGAAAACGCTAGAAATTCGATCGCATCGGTTTTAGTGATTACAATAATTAAAAGCACAGGGCTTTGAGGAATGCAAATCATGTTTTTTTTTGTTTTTAATTGGATACGCAGTACCTGAAAATCAGCTCTGAATTGTAACATACAAAACTCAATAAAACAAATATATTATTTAATTTCAAATGCTTTTATTTGCCTTTAGTTGTTTTTATGAATATGGACAATATTTTCTGAAAGCAAAAAAAAATTTTTTCGATGAAAATGAATTTTTAATACAATTATTTGTTATTTCATTAATTATAATAGATTTTACATTTAAGTTGTTAAAATATTATAAAATTAGCATCGGCTTTCATAAGTGTCCTTATGAGATAGATCTTTTTTTTAAGCGTTGTAAATTGTATCATTTTGACTAATCAGAAGATCCCCAGTAATTAAGAAATGTAATTTTGTGCTTATAATCGAGCTGTAATTATAAAATACGGAAGACCAACCAGAATATAATTAAGTTGCGTTATTTGAGTTAAGCATTGTTCTCCGCTGTTAAGGCTTTTACTTTTGCGAAACACGTGTGGAGAAGTTAATTTGATTTTTCAATTTCAACTGAGAAGGGTACCTACAAGTATCAGTATCATCTTATGAAATTTATATGATCTTATTTTTTTATATTAATCTCAGTTACGACATTTTTCCATAAATGAAATATCAAAATTAATAATAAAATGAATGCAAATACAAATAACAGTAAAATGTAATAAATGTACATAAAATTATAGTATTTTATGTACAATTTGATAAAATTTCATAAGAAAGGTACCAATAAATTAATTAGATACCTTTCTTAAGAAATATGAAATTTAATGTCACTCTTAACAGTTTTATTTTAATTTCTTTACAATATATTTCCCATAAAGCATCATAAACGTAAAGGTGAAAGCTAAGTAAAAAAAAAAAAAAAAAAAATTAGACCGCTGAAAGTTTTCGTTAAAAATAACGGGTAAATAATTTGTTCACGTAAATGTAAATTATTTCACTTTTCTCCTTCCAGAGAACAAATTAGCCTCATGGAATTGTAGAATATATCATTCATCACATGTCAAGAGATGCAAAAGTTTATGACCTGCTTTGTTTTATTTTCAAATTACATCTTTTTGGCACAAAAAGCTAAGTTAAGTTTGGTTCAAAATATTTTAAATAAACATTATAATTTCTGATTTTCTTAAAATAAGTTTTGAAAAAATGATAATTGATATTTAAAAAAATTTCAAAGTCAGATTTCCATTTTTTTTTAAAATGGAAAAAAATGGTCCAAAAAAAAACTAGATTTTTAACGAAAATTTCGGACGTGCTAGGAACGATTAAAAAATGGAAAAAAATACCCCAAAAATACTTTGACATTTCCTCTTAATAATAAACATTTAGACGATAAAATTTTGTTTTTAAGTCAAGTTTACGTCTTTTTCATCATGCTATGCTCTTTTTTTAGCGATCTCGTGGAGGTACCTAAGTAAGATGCATGATTTTTGTGACCTTATTTTACAAAGAAAAGAAACAGAGAGAAAGAAAAAAGGAAAAAGAAAAAAGGAAAAAGAAAAAAGGAAAAAGAAAAAAGGAAAAAGAAAAAAGGAAAAAGAAAAAAGGAAAAAGAAAAAAGGAAAAAGAAAAAAGGAAAAAGAAAAAAGGAAAAAGAAAAAAGAAAAAGAAAAAAAAGGAAAAAGAAAAAAAAAAAAAGAAAAAAGAAAAAAGGAAAAAGGAAAAGAAAAAAAGGAAAAAGGAAAAAGGAAAAAGAAAAAAGGAAAAAGAAAAAAGGAAAAAGGAAAAGAAAAAAGGAAAGTCTGATCTTCAAAAATTTAAATGCAACGTCACTCGTTATCTTTTGTGTTCTTAATTTCTTGTTCTTTTATTGTTTTCTCTGCTTAATATTTTCTTTTTCTCATTCTCTCACACTCACTAACCCCTTGTGTCTTAGTGACTTTACTGCCTTTTTTGGGGTGAAATGATAAAAAAAAAAAAAAACTTTCTCTGCTAGCATATTTTAAATTATACAACTTTTCCTGTTTGAACAAATATCTTTTCAAATGGTCTCTATTAGATAAACTCTCTACTGATATCTGTGACTGATAAAGACAACATTTTGTATCCACTGAGTGTGTGTGTGTATATATATGTATATATATATATATATATAAAGACTAGCCATGAATATTGCAAATCATTCATGAACAAACAAAAGTGGTCATATGTATGGGTTGGTTATGTATTAGGGCAAATGCATGGAACATGTTGCCATTTATTGACACTAACAAACAAAATTGTTCAAATATTGCTGGCTTAGATAATGCAAGGCCTCCGTTTTGATTTTAGGTTAGCAGATTTCATGACATATCAATCCTTCTTTGTGTCATTTAATATTGAAATCATTTTTTCTCATACTCAGGTTTATAGGTAATGGTTGGCTGGTTATATTTAGTTTGGTATGAGCAACCAACATTTACCATTGTCCGCGAGCAACAACTGAACGAGTAATTTTTAAATGATAATGATTTTTTTAAATTTTATACCATTTAAAAATGACTCGTTAATTCAATTAGTGTTTATTTAAGATGTTGAATACCTTTTTCTCCATAAATTTATAACGCCAAATATTTTGTCCTTTTTTTCCTGGAATATTTCCAAAATGAGTAAGAAATGACAAAATACGTGTGTAAATAAATTAAATATTTAAAAATGTATTCTATATTCATATTACTTTTTTTTTTTTTATTTAATCAAATATTTATATTTTGATTGTTATTGGGGTTTTTTATTTTCATTGTTCAACAAAATAAAAAAAGACATTTTCTATCTTTAACAGATTTCAACATTAAATAATACTCTTAAACTGTCTTCTCGTCACTCATACATTATCATAAATAAGCAATCGACATGTCCTGTTGTAAAAGTTACTTCCTTTAATTTTGATTTTATAATTAAATGAACCATTCAACGAAGTGAAAATTCTATTTAACGTTTTCAGTGCAACTAGTCTTCAGGCAAATGACATTTGCCATTACAATGGCTTCCCAAGCCAAGTGTATTTGTTAATATAAACAAAACGAAACAAGAAAGGAGACGATCATAGAATTATATTTTGAAACTACAGTGTAACCCGGATATAAGAGAGTTGTCGGGACCGGAGAAGAAGTCTCTTATATCCGGGTTACACTGTATAAGGATTAAGAGTAAAAATTAATTCTAAATTGATTTAGAGTAAAATTAATGTATTAAGCAGATCTGAGCTTTTAAAGTGAGCTGAAACGAGAAATACTACTCACCAGAATATGACATCACCACGTTTGGCATAGGCAGGAATGGCACTGGCAATAGTTGCAAAGCCATAACAATAAAGAATGGTAGATTCCACTTCCATGAATTTCTGCAATTGCTCTTCCATAAAAAGATGAAGATCTGAAAAGCAAATACAAATTTGATCAAGTGTCTTATGTGCTGCTAGGGCAACAGTAAGATTGTGAAGAAACACATAACCAAATATGATAATTAGCTATGGCGAATTATCATTTTCTATAGAGTTTGCACTTTTCTTTTTAATTTTTTTTGGTGGGGAGTCTTACTTCAAACAACACTTTTATCCAAGGAACCATGGCCCAACAGCAATGGTTGAAGTAATCCAGTGACTTGACCAAAAGAATTGAGTTCAATACCTGGCCACAGCAGAGGCAAACAAAAACTTGGAGAGTCGAGTTAATAAAGGTAATTAACCAAGATACCCAGAAAAGACAGGAAGCTAGAACAATTTATCTTCGTGGACTAAATAAAGGGTTTGGTTCAAAATTCTGTTGTACATCACCTGAAAAAGGCTGGAACGTACAATGGCCGAAACATCATGAATATGACAATAAAGATGAGGAATACAGTTCAAATAGTGTAAATAGTTACAATACCTCATCTCAGAAATATAGAGAAATGTTAAAAGGTGTTCTTGTTTGAATGAAGAAACATTCTCTCTTGTTTGACCTCTTATTCTTTCTGTAGCAAATAAATTCAAACAAATACTCTTAACAAAGATATACTGATAGGCCTACGACAAGAAATAGGATCAACAGTCTTTTTCTCAAGTATTTTCTTAAATTGGTGCCAGAACCAAAAATGATTGCATAATTTTAACTATTTTCTATTCTAACAAATATTTCTAGGATCATGATCGTATCCTAAAATTTTTTTCTGCCTTCCCATCAATAAGCTACCCATTAATAAATCAGGGAAAAAGACATTATCGTTGGGGAAGAATTTAGGCCAGGCAAGCATTACTGAGGCTGTGAATGTAGCCTAGTGGTTATCACCATGGAAAGAGGCACTGGTGTATGGAGTTCAAATTCAAGTCTGTTGCATTCACTTTCACACAACTATCCTTGGAAAGGTATAAATACATGTTTTCCCTCAACCAAGGCGGACTAGGCTCTTTAGCTTTGGTTGGCAACCAGTCTAGAAGAAAGACAACTGAATTTAAAACTCCTTCAGCTCAGAATATTTTGGTTAGGGATCTTATATGAGTTGCAGTGAATGTTAGTCCCTCAAATACTTATATGTAGAATGCATCACAAAGAATGGTAAATTCTCAAATCGATCCTTGTATGACACTTACCCATAGTTCCATAGAAGGCACGAGGTCCACACGAACCAACACCATAATGTCTCAATGTTTTCTTGGCTTCCTCCTGCAGTGACAAAACAATTTTCATCACATGTCAATAGCAATATAATAAACGGGGGAGGGAATTGCAAAATGACACTGTTGCAATTATCATGAAGGAATAAAATATATTTTCTCACAAAACAATTTCCTATTTATATGGTAACCAGAAAGTCTTTGCAGTATTTGATTTAATACAAAAAAAGTATAAAACAGATCCGACATATTAGTAATCCTCATCAGCATTCCAATAAGGTCCCCAGTTGTGCAATGCCCTGGCAGTAAAAATCAGGTGTCTTGGATGCAAAGAAGTCTGTGAGGACCTGTTGCTATGAAGGATTTCCCAAGAAAGTGGTTGTCTAGGGAATGGAAGAAGTTAATCTGTTGGCACAAGGTTTGGGGAATAAGGTGGATGGCACAATGTCTCCCAGCGATGCTACCATATGTTATCCCTGGTCAGCTATGCTGCTTGTCATTCACATGGAGGAACTGTACACCTTTGCGATTAACCAATGCTGGCTCCTCCTGCTTCAGTGCTAGTTGCACATGTACCAACAGCTGCTAGTACAGGTCCACAATGATGGTTAGACTTGTTGGTAGCAGTTCATAGTGTACCACTTGTCAACTCATCTACCAGATACAGAGCATGATCTTGCATGGGTGTAGAGGTGGTCTTGTGGCATGTGTCACAGGGTCCCATGGTTACAACCAATGTCTACTTGGGAGTATCATACAGGATTCACTTTTTGGTCCCTGTGAGCACTCTATCAAATATGGCTTTGTTGCAATGCTGAGAAACAAGCTATCATTCATCATTGCTTTTTGACAGTGTCTAAAGTACCAACTTACACACCTTTCCTATATGGTACAGGTGAAGTCTGTTTCATCAGAAAACTGGAAGACTATGGTAAACTCATCACTGATTTGCTTGTTGCCAGCCTATATAGCCGACTTCATGGCCTCATCATCTAGGACCTGTGGCTGGCCATTGTGGGGTTCAACACAAAAGGATAAATTTCTCAACCTGAACTTCTGGAAGCAATGCCTAACGGTGTGTCTACCCACGTCATTATTCCCAAAGGATTGATGTATTCAGTGACTTGATGCATCTGTGGACAAGACCACCTTAAAGACAAAGCAGACAACCCCAAACAAGCTGCTTCAACACTGCTATGTTTCCTCACCGCTGCTCGAGATATAGCTGATGTGTGTGTCTGCGTATGTGCAACACACTTGCATTAGTCAAGAGCAATGCCTCAACCGCTTTCCCAGCATGTGACATGCTCATTTGCATATCAGTGATCACTTCTTCTCACATGACGTAAAAACAGCAAGGATTTTTTTGGTTACCTTATAGGTAAAAATAATAAAATAAAAAATTTCTTGTCTCACCTCAATTCTTTCTTCTCCCAACATTCCCAAGAAGTTAAAAGTTGCCAGGTTGAGACATAAATTACCATTAAGATCGATGTATTTACCAGCTTTCCTGAAAAAGAAAAAAAAAAAAAAATTTAACTGCCGTTATTAAAAACATTTGATCAAGAGAGGTTTACTGAACAAATTCACACCTGATCTTTGAATGGACGTGTCCCAAATACCTATGCTTCCGCCATATGTGAGCACCTCTTAAATAACAGAGGGTGTGCAGCTAATTTTAGTGCTGATTGTTTCACAGTTCTATCCCGGTCGCACTCTTTATCTCAAAGTGCTGGAGACACTTTATATCAGGTCCCGCAAGCCTTCCCTGTGTAAACAGCGTGAATGTTTGTTGGGGCTCACTGTTATTTGTCTTCATTTTTTCCCTTCTCCTTACACATTTTCCTGTTGTTTTAATTTAAGTTAAATCTCATTTAGAGGCCTGAAGAGAGGAAGCGAAATCAGTTGCTTCGCTTTTAACAGATCTTGCAATAACTACACACTTTTATTTCTGTAATTAGATTTTGTACTTTCAAAAAAAATTTTCAAATATATATATATATATAATATTAGTGGAAAATATTTTGAATTTGTAGGTCTGATGATTTGGATCGTATTTACGATTCCAATGGAATAAATTATGACCATGGAATATTAGTGTTTAAGCCTTTTTTTTATATATATATATATATATATATATATATATATATATGGTTTAATTTATTTAAGCTGGATCCAGTAATAGAACAAAAGAACAATTATAACAATATAACTGTAATAAAAATTATGTGCTGGATAAGAGATTCATTTTTACCACAAATTTTACTAGACACAAGAGATTATCAACAGTAATAAATAATTAACTTATAAAACAATTACAAAAAACTGTAATGAAAGTGCTGGAAAGAAGATCCATTCTCACCATAAACATTAGCAACTTCAGTATACAATTGTTTTTCTTTAAAAAACTCTTTGATGGTTTCTCTTTGGCAAATCCAAATTCCCAGTATCATTAATCTTGCACTTTGAGAGAATTGTTAAATAAGAAATAAAAATTGTTTATTTTTGAAGTTGACTGCAGATGAGCAAAACTAGGATATAGAGAGGTACCACTGTATTGCCAAATTGATAAAAAGAAAAATTACACAGTATAAACAATCCCATTCTCAATGCAGATAACTGGTGTGATGGTGTTTGACAAAGCATCATTTTGAAAAGATACAAAAACACCTATGATTTGCACTCAGCTACAGGCATGTGACAGCAATACTTGTAAGCTTTTGTAAGTTATATTTTCATCAGGCTGAAAGTTTTTAGTTGAAAGTGTGTCCATTCCTTAACAAAAAAACTGGTAAGGAAACTTTTGATAAACCCAAACCATAGAAAAAGAAAAAGAAAAATCTATATAAATAAGTAATCCCTCTTTTCATGCCAATTTTAGAATTTACTTTCTACTGCAATTAAAAATGTTGTGTTAAAGACAAAATAACTGCTAACCAAATCAAAGAAAAAGGGACATGTTTGTTTAAAAAAAGTAAGAAACACTAAAATTTATTTTGAATAGCACATGCTAAAGGAACTAATAAATCTGCCATCTTGTTTGCATGCAGAAATGTGCTCAGTACAAGCCACGGAAAGTTGGATAAAGACAAGACAATAAGTTCTTTTGATGGAGCAGATGAATTTCTTTGAAAGACTTACCCAAGAACAATTGAATTATGCAGCTTCTCAAGCAATGGATGATCATCTTTCACATGAGGAACCAAAGGTTCAGGTTTCCAGTCAGCAAGTAGGTCATTCTTCTCCTGTTAAATAATAAGGATTTTAAAAAATAATAATGATGATAATAAACGTAGTTATCAAAATATTTTTATTACCCAGTGCTTCCAAAGAGAACATTGACATCTTAAAATTTTATCATTGATTTCATTCTCTGCCTGCAGCTGATTACACAGCAACAAGAGATATTTGTTGCCACCATTGGCAATCTTTGGTAGATGTGTTCAATGATTGCAAGTCAAAGTTTGTCCATTCGTGCAGGTTATTGTTTAGGTTGGTGGCATATACAAATTTGCTGAGGCCACGTTTTCTTCATTTGGTGTGGCCATAAAGTTTTAAAACTTTGTCCATGATGATAGCTGTGATAGGAATTAGCCCTGTGACTTACAGAAGTTCCTCAATTATTTGGACAGCTTATTATTTGTCATAAACTTCATCATGTCGCTTTGGAATGTTTCAGTTTTTCTTTAATAATCTAGAAGTCTACCTGATGCAGTCAAAACCATAAAGTACCAAGGGTAATACATAAGAACTATAGATCTTAGACTTGATATGATATGGAATATATTTTGAAATTTAATTTTGTTGGGAGCATTAGTAATTTCTTTGACAAAAATGTATTACTGGTAATATTTTTTATTTTCCAAAAATTTATTGCAGGTATTTTTACTATAAAAATCTATTTTTACACCGTCATAGTATCTTGACCCCAGTTTAGGGGTTAACTATTTGCCCATAGCTGAAACCCCAACTGATGCTACAACCCCAGGTCAGGGTGGCCCTGTGTTATAGCATACCTATGTATGATAATGGGTATATCCCCATTCACATAAATACAGTAGTAAATACTGTATGTTGGTCAGCAGTTGGAGATTCATTGTTGAATTCACTTGACTCACTTCTAGCAGTTGACTACTACTTCTATGTGCTGCTGGCAAATCTTATGTGTGTTGCTCGTGTCCTAAGTATTAACGTTCATTACCAACCTTCGTGTGATTATTCTATTCAGTAACCTTCCCTAGGTTACAACAGCAATTAAGAGGTGGTTCCATGCTCCTCAAAATCTGATCAGAGATCTTGCTGCCGGATGTAGTTTATTGCCAGACCCAGTCTGCATAAATTGGGAGTTGTAGGTTTGGGATGAATTTATCAATAATCATGCATTCGGTTTTAGACATGTTTACAAAAAGCCCAACATCAGCTACATGTCTGGCTAGAACGACAAGGAATGATTGTAAGTCATTGCATGAATTGCTTAGTGAAGTAATATCCGTGTAACTTAAATCTGAAAAGGACATGGCCACCAATAGAAAAGCCTAATTGATATTCCCTTTGGAAAAGGGACACAGCAATAACAATACAGAATAATTTAGCCAAGAGAATATCAATTTCCTTTACTCCTTTTAATATATCAACTGATCTTTCTTTGTTTGTTTGTTTAAAACTTAACGACCCATCGATCAGCAAGAGATCATTTAAGGTCAAACAGTTGGTTTTTTCTTTCTTTAAATAAGGTTGAAATGCTTTCAAAAAACTTTCACTTTCCTTTCATTCTTTTTCGATGTTGTCTTGCTTTTTGTTTTTAAAAATTCACTGTTTTCAGAGGTGCGTTCTTTGAAAATTTCTCACTTTTTTCTGACAAGTATCAAAAGGTTTCCCTTTTCATCATCAGACACCAAATTGGAATTATATTTTATTATATAGTCCAACTTTCCTAAGAAATGTCAAGATCAAATTGGGGTTTGATTTTTTGAAAAGTTCTTTCAAATTGTTCGCGTTGTAAAATAGTTTTTGAATATGTGCCATGTCAGCACAATCAAGCAGGAAGTG